GCTCACATCTGAGGCACACAAAGCCAACAAAAACAGGCCAATGAGGGAGCAGAGGATGTTAGAACGGATATAGCTTCGAAATTACAACAGAATAATGCAGACGATGCCAACTGAATTTGATAAAATGAATTAAACTAGTTTTTCCTCAAGTGTAATAGAGATCAGTATGATTGCACACCTGAAAGTGTTTCTAAGTGAATGTGTAGTCATTGTTTCTGGCTAAGCAGTTGCCGGCATAGCTAAGCACTCCACTGATGTGCTTCAATACAATCTGAATGAAAATAGATCGAGTAAACGAGCAGAACGTACGTACAGATGATTTTTGCAAAGAATTGAAGAGAATTTCAGAAGAGAGAGAAACGTGGTTATACATATTAATTGCCCACAACGTATATTATTTTGATTTTTCTTCATAAGGAAGTGCAGGCCATGATTTTCTATATGTAGCATTGTTGAATGCGATACACGTATATTAGAAAAGTTCAGTTCAGGCCGCAGCTTGAACGCTTTCAAGCCTTCGATGATTACACAAAAGGCGGTAGCAAAAAGCAGAAATACCATGTCAAATTTGAATAAAAATAATTTTTCCAATCCCGATGGATTTATGTGGCTGTGGCTCTGGAGTCACCTTTCTCCAAACAGTTCGATGGCCTGCTGATATGAGGTGTGAGCCATACACTGGGTAAGTCTTGGTAAGGAGAAGACTTTGTCTTTGTCTCCACCTATTGAATGTCACAGTATAACAAGGTTATTTGTCCCCTATAAAAATGCAGTACGGTTTTTCTCAAGCATCCCAGATAAGCCAGGACTCCGCTCATGCATCCAAAACAGCATTGTTATTTTCAGTGTGTAAATACTTAAAATACTAAATGATTTTCTTTGAGACTTTTTATTTCGTTGGCAGTGTCTTCATTATCTTATACTGAGTTTACCCAAATCAGTGAAACAGCGGCGTTCTGTGTTGTAATAACTGCTGTACATGTGTCTCTTAATCGTTGTGGCCAAAGATGACATTATGTCATTCCTGAAGTCGACAGGAAAAACCATGAGGTAAGCTGAGTATGAGATCACTATTAACTGCAAACTGTGGACACGACGTGAGAAGGGAAATCTGAAGTGAATTTTGGAAGCCTCTTCAGGCTACATCCACACAGTAAATAACACAAAGTTAACAACTATATTATCAGGGTTGAATGCTTTTTGTGAGAGTAGTTGGCTAGCAGCAATTGGAAGAGAAAGGTGAAAAACTATTTGAACAAACAAAATGTTCAATAAGTACAATACTGAACTTTATATGACATATCAGTATGTGCAATATATATATTGACATATATATATGCCATTTTATATAATACTTGAATATTTTTGACTTGTAAGAGCCATAAAATTAGCAAATGTTTGTGTGTTTGTTAATGCAAGGGCATAGGTTTGGTCTCAACATTGTAGGACGCAACAACCCCGCCAACCCTCCAAAACAAAGTGATGTGCTTGGAATGCCATCTACAACCAAATGGTTATTAACATAATAGGAATTCTGTATTTACATTCATGAATGCCCACACCAAAAATGTCAATCTTATGTACATGTGTTGAATACAGTGTATGAAATATAGAAAAAGTGTGAAAAAAATACGACATACATACTATGGCAAAAAAAGTGAAAAAACGTCATAGTATAGTATGGCCTAAAAAGTGAAAAAAACGACATACTATACTATGGCATAAAAAGTGAAATAACAACATAGTATAGTAAGGCGTAAAAAGTAAAAAAAAATGACAAATCTTAAAAAGTGGAAAAAAACGACATACTATACTATGACATGAAGAGTAAAATAACAGCATAGTATAGTAAGGCCTAAAAAGTGAAAAAAAAGGACATACTATACTATGGCATAAAAAGTGAAATAACAACATATATAGTAAGGCGTAAAAAGTGAAAAAAAATGACGAGTCCTAAAAAGTAAAAAAAA